TATAATAACAATATACCTCACAGCCCTAGTACCGACTAATTGTGTTTGCAGTTATGAGCCAAACTAAAAGCCAGTTCTTTATGATTGATTGATTTAAAGTGCTGCGACCATGTTTGGATTTTTACTTTTTTAGAGCACCTTTCATGCAGGAAAGAATCTGGACACAGTTCTATCAGCTGTTCATCTCCAGTCATCTTTAGTCGGAATACTAATGTCAAAATATATTGGATTAGATCCTCAACAGTATGACAAACACCTTCTCGTTAAATCATGTTGTGTCCAGTTAAAGCAGTCATCTATGGGCTTTGTTCTGCTGTTGGCTGAAGATGGATGTGCAGAATATATGTGTGCAAAATTAACTTTCTTTTCAAATAAAGCTGGTGTGGTTTACATACACGAGCACCTAATTGTCTAGCAAGTGCTGTACTTAAAGACCTTATGACGGGTTTGATTTTTTTTAGAAATACAGTTTTAATACCATTTTATATTAGAATAGAATTACTAAAGGTTTCAAAATCAGTTGTTGTTTTTTTTGTCTGATCCCCCCAAATCGAAATAACCCCATAGCAACGCCCTTAGAAACAAAAAAACTTCACAGCCCTTGGTGACGTCAGAACGGGTACGTTTCAACGCTGTAAGTTGTTTACAATTTGGTATTCGTTCTTTTTTCGCGGATATTCAAGATGACAAGGCCGTGTACAGCGAGTGGGAGATAGATACTAGAATGTAACATTTCGTTGTCACTGAGATAGTCCAGTGGTTGTGTCGATGGACTGTCAATTCAGATACTTGGGTTCAAATCCCATCTCGGACACTTTTTCACACTCAAAACGGCAATTTATGTGTAGTGAGCAATTGTCACCTGTAGAGTGCAGTATTGTGTTGGGCATCAGTGGAGAGAAGAGAGAAAAGGCAGTCCTGTGGCATAGATCCATGGTTTTCAATGCATGGGCGTAACCCGCTATGACGTCACACACAGGTTAGAGCATAGACAACTTAAATTCATGAAAAACACGTTCTTTTTATAAAATATAGGATTTTTTTTGCCGGAATCTCTTTCAAATTGACATTGTCATGCAATTTTGATATCCACTATTTTTTTTTTTAAAACCCGTCATAAGGTCTTTAAGTTGTGGTAAATTGATCCATGACACCATGAGTTGCCTTAGAATCCATTGATATAAATTTGACTGTTTTCTTGACTTCCATGTGTTGTAGAACCAAATCAACAAGTATTACCCAAATACGTGTTGGGTATCATCTGTCTCTCTATCACTAGCTGGAGAGATAGATGATACTTTATGTATCCCCCTAGGAGAAAAGCAAGTGTCCAGTAGCAGCTGAGACACATCCATCCATACAAACAAAACAAATATTTAATTCTAAAAGCAGCACAGATGGTGCAGCCGCTGGTGAAGAGCTGCTTCCAATCCTCAGGTTAATGCAGAGTCTGCTTGGTTCGGACCATTTTCTCTGCTCTGGTCCAGGGTAAAATGCTAGATGCTTTATTGGCCAGTGGATTTACCCTTCATCTGCTTGGTTCAGACGGTGAATCCTCTGTGCTCTGCTCTGGATCAGTGTAAAACTATGAACACTGTACTGCAGTTGCATTTACAGGTAGAAAAAAGCAAGAAATATTACAACTATAAAGCACAAAACAACAACAGTTTCAGAGCTACGTCGGACTTGCTGCTGTTTCCAGCGCACACTAATTGAAACCCTAACAATACATACTGTATGTCAGAATCCAATCAATTTAACCATGCATAAAACTGCCAGTAAAATGTGTTTCAATTTTGTTATCTTTTGGCGCTGATTCCCACCTTGCTTTGTGATTATTTCTTCAACCAAGCAACCACCAATTCAGAAACAAGCCACGCCGACAGATCACTCATTACCTGGTCCACTGCACACAGAGAGAGAGACGCACGTGAATCAGGCCAGTTCGGAAATAAAGTCAGGAAAGAAGAAGAAAAGAAGTGAAGGGAAAAAAAAAATCTGGTGGTCTTTCAAACTTGGCTGATTAGACTTGGGCTGCATCCCAGAACAGTGCCTGGGCCCAGCGGGGATTCAGCGGGGAGCATCACAGCCAATGCATAATTTCTCAAGATGGGAGGGACGCACACTGAGCCATGAGCTGTACTCTGGAGATGTGTGAGAGGCTTAGAGAATAGCTCAATAAGACCCACTGAGCAAATAAAGAAGAGAAGCCCTTCCTATATGTCGCCTTCTGAGTTTGTAAAGTTACTATAGCTCATTAGAAGCACATGAACAACATACAGTCCAAGTATCTCGCCATGGTTGTGTCTTAAATGTTTTATTGACAGCGGCTTGAACGTTCAAATTAGGACCACAGATATATATTGAGTTGTTTTTAGTTTCTGAAAGCCCACAACGAAGTAACAGGCAACTGTGAGATGAAAGCAAATTGATAACAAAAAAAGTGGGGCCAGTATTCATATACAGCATGAGGGAATACTTTGTGGAATCCGCTTTTTACTGAATGACTGCCATTGACGTATTTGTGTGAGAGTGGAGATTTCTGCCAAACTTCCCTCAATTCGACTGGAGATTACTGAAGAAGAAAAAAAAGCTAGAAACCAACTTGTTTTTGCTGATGATAGTAGACAGTCCAGTTTTTCAGAACCTCATTAAAACCGGCTGGCAGTCAATGAGTTAAGCAAGTAAATAAAAAGTAATGTTTTTTTGTATAGCGCCTGTCAGAGACCAGGGTTACAAATTTCAAAACATACAATAAAATCATACACACACAAGTCAATGACAATAAACTGTTTAGAATTATTTTGGGGTATGACTTCACAAGCTTTGCACATCTACTGGACTTTGACTGACCCATGTATTTTTTTTTTTTTTTTCTTTTTTTTCTAAACCATTCCATTGTCTCTCCAGCTTTATGCTCGGGGTCAGTGTCCTGCTGGAAGCTAAAATATCCGCCCGTTTTGCTGACTCCTGTGAATGTCTTCCAAAACGACCCTGTATATGGCTACATCCATCTTCACCTTCCATCAATTTTTCCCTTCTTCACTTTTCTTCACACCCCAGCTGTCTGTTACTTTGTTGTAGTCTTCAAAAAAAAAAATATCATCAATCAAAATTTTACATTTGACAACATAAGAAAAAGTTCTGTAGTCTTTCGAGTAAGCAGAAAATGTTATGGGTGCTCACCAGTCCTGGCCTCCGCTCGCCTGTTCTCCTGCATCGTTCCGTCACAGTGGTTCTCCCAAAGGTTTCTCCTAATCCCCCTGGGTTTTTGGAGTTTGTTACATTCTGAACGACTCATACATATGAAACATACAGAGCCAAGGAAAATGGAAAGTATGAATAAATAGTGTTAAATGAAACCAGTCGGTCTATATATTAATCAGAGCATAATCTGCCTGAACATTCCATGAGAGAAGCTTTAACGTGTCGCTGTTTTCATATTCAGTCTTGTTTCTCCTGCATTGTCGATTTTTGGAGGTGGTTCCAGTTGGATTTACTTGTTTGCTTCGTGTTTCTGAAACTATAAAGGCACCTTTTATTCCGCCATGCTCATAAATTTAATTTCTAGTCAAAGAACATGAAACAGGAATTGAAAAAAAACAGACTTCTTCTTTCCGTCGAGGTTGGATGTGCGCCAGCGTTCGTACTTTCAGCCAATTCCTTTTCCTTAGCGACTTGCTTCATCCAAACATTTTAACTGGAAGTGATTGCACAGCCCGTTTTGCCAAGGGTTTTAGCGAGAGAGCTGGTGTTACCATGCCACCCCTTTCGCTAAGGTAAACTGCAGCCAGTCATTCTCCATTGGGATCATTTTGCATGCGCTTAGGAGAAGGAGCTGCTGGCCCCTCAAATGCATTCTATCACCATCACCCCCAGGGTCCACAGCCAGAGCCTCATTTAGCAGTATGGAGGAGAGAGGCCACAGAGGAGCACGGCTTACATGCGAACAGGGAATAGAGCGGCTAAAAGGTTTGCAGAGAAATGTGTCAAGGTGGATGACACACTACTGCGTTGACATATCACAGAAACCAGCAGACGCCTCAATATGAAAAGGAAAAAGCTGCGCCTTTTGTAAAGAGAAATAAAGCCAGTGGAAGAACATCTGAATGCACACCGGGCGTAATAAGAGCGCTGCTGCAGCCCCAGGGACAAGCAGGAGTGTACGAGGTTTCACAAATCAGCCCAATCCCAGTATTAGCAGCACAATCACTGGTCTCTGCAGGAGAGTGTAATTTACATGTTGGTTCTCGGGCCCATGGAGGACCCCTGTTGTGCCCCTGGTCACTGAGAGTCCGTCTGTGATCAGCAATGATTCAGTCTTCAACAGTCTACAATCTACAACAGGCTGCATCAGGCTATATAACCATTTTAGAAGACAGTTCACTGTATCTACTTTTGTCCTCTCTAATTCTCTGCATTCTAAAGCCATGCCAACTCTCATAAATGCACTTATCAGAGCCCATAATGTTGATGGCTTAGGATTCAGAGTGCATGCTCACCTGAATCGTCCCCACACACACTCACTGGGGACTTGCACACTGCACATTCTCCCACTCGCTTGACTGTGTCTACAGGCTATTCACAATAATAGGGCTTTCAACCCTAAGTGTGTATTTTCTCTTCCAATATACTGCCTGCATACAATAGTGCTGCTGAGCTGGCAACTAAGGATATCAAACGGCAAATGAAATTTCTGAGAGCTGTCTGCACCAACTCAGAGTTGTAACATGAATTTTTCATCATTTGGTGGAGTAATATTGCCTCATTAGAGCACTCAAGCAGCCATTCAGTAAACAGAGCCATTCTTTCTGCCAAAACGGAATCTGTGCCGATGTCAAAACCACTGTTTTCGTTCAGCCGCTTGCTCCAACATTAACAGGAAGAGAACTGCACTCACTGTAATCAGTTCTAAACAGCACAAAACTAAGGCATGAGACAGAATGGACAATGAGGAGATAAACAAGAACACTCTCTGACACAATTATATAAAGATGGAGCTACATGTCAGTTTCTTTATCGTACACAATTTCTCCATCCAGCTCCAGCGAGATCAAAGGCTTCAGACAGGGGTGAGGGATTTGACTGAATCTGCAGCAAAATAGTAAAATCCGTACAAATAGCCCGGCTGCTCTTTGAAATATCTAAGTCAACTTCAATCTCATGTATTCATTTCTTGCGCACATACAGAGGCTGGTGCTGACTCACAGATGTCTGCTCTTTCTGCCTCTGTGTCCTGGTGCAAGCTCATAGACGAACACTCTCCACCTGCCTGCTTTCTGTTTGATGGAAATAATCCTCACTGGAAGGTCCGCAGTATCCGCATGCGCCAACAAACACAGGAAAACCTTTTCTGTTAGTTTATCAGTTCTATATTCACATTGCATATCATGACGGAGATACAGTATTTACTGAAATCTTTTTGTTTTTCTTTTTTGTCACTGCTTTATTCTCACAGCAGGGAGTCATAATGTGCCTGCCAGTTACTCCACGATGAAAGGAGAAAAAAAGAATAAAGGTTCTAAAAGTAATTGAGCTGGCTTATTAAGGAACGAGATAGCGTGTGTGTGTGTGTGTGTGTGTGTGTGTGTGTGCTGCTGTGTTTGTGTATGTTTTTGTATATGATTGATTTAAACGGTGGTTGTGGCAGTTGTTGGAGAGTCATTTAGAGACAGTAATGTAAAGTGACTGGTGACATTGGGAGGAAGTTATCGTAGCGACTCCAGGCTTTATAGAATGGATCCCTAGTATAGATCCACTATAATTATAATTGTATATATGTGTGGGTAATTGTTGTTCTTGAATGTGTTGAGGAGGGAGAGCAGGTTTTGAGTCCGCTGTGCGCTTTGAAATAGCTGCAAAGAAGATATATTATGCGTGCCTTTACAGACGTAATCTGTATGACATTGCAATAGGGATGGAGCAAAATATTATAGCTCGATATATCGTATCTTGGTTAGACGCAATATTCATTATCGATACAGACGGCGGGTATAGCAATACTTTTGAAGTAACTCAGTCAATACAGTCAAGAGTACTCTTCAATGAAGTATATTGTCGCGTTACAGTATTTTAGAGAGTCAAAACGAGATAATGGGAGGTTTTCTTGTAGGTTGAAAATGGGTTGAAAATAAGTTTCTCAATTAATCACAATTTAGTAAATGGATTTATTGTTTAATATATAGACTATTTATTATTTTGGTTGGGACAGTACATATTAATGAACACATCACTCCGGATTGTAGCCATTGGCTAATTTCCATCCGTTGTCCCCCATTCGCACTCACAAAAACACACTCATTCACCCTGAACTATTGCAGGTTTTTGTGTTAGGGGAAACCGGAGTACCCGGAGGAAACCTATATGCAAACACAGGAAGAACATGCAAGCTCCACTCAGAAAAGCCCTGGTCCGACCGGGATTTGAACCCAGGTACTTCTTGCTGAGAGGCGAGAGTGCTATCCACTCAGCCACCGTGCAGACAAGATTTATGACATTAACACTTTATTTCATTTTTGTATAACTTTACATTATCAGACTTTCACCAAGAACGTCACACTTAGAGAACTGGCCTGAAACAGGTGATGGTTGAAGATTATTATGGTGACATGTTGGTGCCGTATGAGCCAACTCGGACTCTGAGGAGCGCAGGGACTGGACTCCTGATGGTGCACAGAGTCCGGACTAGGCATGGAGAGGCTGCATTTCAGGTGTATGCCCCAAAAATCTGGAACCGCCTTCCTGAGGATGTACGGGAGGCCTCATCTTTAGCATTATTTAAGTCTAAGCTGAAAACCGTTCTTTTTAGCTGCGTATATGACTGACATATTGAGCTTTTTATACCGTTTTTAATTCTGAAATTCAGTTTGAAATGTTAATTTTTATGCAACAATTATTATTGTTTTTGTTATTATTTTATATTACGTTTTATGTGTTTTAAAATGTTTGTAAATGTGTATGATCCTGTGTTCTTGTGAAGCACTTTGGGCTGCACTGCATGAATTGTGCTTTATAAATAAACTTGATTGATTGATTGATTGACTGTCGTGTGTACGCTTTGAGTGGTCTGGGAAACTGGAGCACCTGGAGGACACCTACACAGATGTGGGGAGTACATGTAAACTCTACACATAAAGGTCTTGTGTGGAGGTGGAATCGAACCAAGGACCTTTTTTTCATATTCACTGACCTTTCTGAATCTAAACAACTGATTGAAAGAATGATAAATCTGCAACCTTATTTCCGGAGCAAAAATGCAACAGAGAATTAGAATGACAAGTAAAAGGTACAAAGATTGTCCAGAAGAAAGCAGCATTTACCTCTTACGTTGTAAGATAATATACATGATTGTACTAATATTTTTATGTAGATAATGCACTTTGTCTTGTAAAAGTAAAATACTGTGAGCAAATTGTGCAGCCATCTTTTATTGAAGGAAAATACACTGGCACAGTTTTTTTTTTTTTTATATATCAATCAAACTTAGATGGATAATAATGTACCTGTGTTTGGGTTAGAAAACAGATTTTACATACAAAGATCCCTGTGAGTCACTATTTGACTGAAATCTGATTGGATTGCTGAGTGAGGATGGTCTTCATGAGGAAGATCTAAAGTGTGACAGAGGTCAATTATACATGAAATACATGTGAAAACTAGTGAACCATAGTGTTTTGAGGGTGAGGGACTAGTTACATAGAACTTTTTACAAACTCCCATTTCATGTGGTTTAAATGATTGATAACAGCTTCTCTCTGAAAGTAACTTTGAGTGAGTAAATGACAAAAGAAAACAGCAAGTCGGTCAAAAGCTGAAAGCAAAATCGTTTTTTTGCATGGTACGACCCCCTCTAAAGGAACGGGGAGTCTGCCTTCTGCTTGTCCCTTTTAAGACTGTATTAAACTTGAACCTTCTGCTGGACAAATATAGAGACGGAATGAATCCTTATCACAGAATTTACACTTAGGCTTAATTCAAATGTTTTTGTCATATCAGCAAATCAGTTTCTAGGGCAAACATTAAGGATTTGTCCAGTGCAATCTGTTCCTCTAAAATGCATGCACATATATGTTTCAACAGGTTTAATCCACATTACAAGGACTTAACAGATACATGGGGATTTGGGAAGATCAGCGTCTAAAAACTGAAAGAAGAAAATCTGCTCCTCTTCCGTTTTGTCATCACTTTGTAAAGTACGGGACGGTTTTTTGTAATAATCCCTTTGCGGGCGCGCTCGACTGAAACATATTGTCATAACATGCGACATCTTTTGCACTCGTATAAGCCGCAGATCCAGTATCAGTGTCATTGAGCAGAGATGTTCCTCGCCTCACAACTCTCTGCACACAGTTTGTTTGCTGTCGTAATCATCTTACTTAAAGGTTATGGTCTCGTAAAATCCAGCCTGATGAGCGCGGTTACAAGCTCCCGTCAGGATGAGGCGCGGCGTCTGTAATAAAATGAAGAGAGAAACAACAAGTTGATGCCTAATAAAGCAGAGGTATGCCTTTTGTAATTGTCACCACTGTCTCAATGAGATTCTTTAAACCATTGATGCAGAACTTAAAGCCGATGCGACAGAAGAAATCGCAAACAAGACATTGAACCAATAAAGACGCAAGCAGAGTAAAATAAAGTCAAAGTGAAAAGTGAGTCTTTCTCATTCTATGTGAGTTTATATGGAGCTGCAAAGTGGGCGGAGCTTTCTAGTGTCAGCAGTAAAATCTCCCCATTCAAAATACCTATAGGGATTTCGGGTAAAAAACAAAGTAAAGCCTTAAAACTTGACCTGAGTTCCTATCTGGTGAGTAATGACCACTGGAACTACATTAAAGCTGGACTACTTAACTTTTTTGGTCTTGTTGTCGCATCAGAAAGTCTTGTTTAAGTAACATTTTGCAAACAAATCACTTCACAATAGGCTGTCTTGTTCTTCTTCAAAAACAGAACATCTTTTAAATACTGTGAGCTGATTGGCTGAGTGAGTGGTCCTCTTTTATCCCCTAAAAATGCATGTGAAAACTAAATTATTTTGAGAGCTAGTTGTATATTATTGTGGTTTCAATGTTAGGTTCTCCAGATATAATACATATTTTTTAAACAAATGCACCATTTCAACAGTTTGAATGTTTTTATGTTTGAAACCCACATGAGATTCAAATTCATTTCATCTGCCATTTGCTGTAAAACCCCATTGGAATACATGTGCAAGACTCACCAGTGTGGACATGATGTGGACAGTAGTTAGCAGGTAGCTAGTTAGCCTTCGAAGAATTTTACTTTTGACACTATGAAGCTCTGCCCACTTCCCAACTCCATTTACTATGAGCAGTCATTTATGCTCTTTATGTGCTCTTTAAGGTTAGCTACCACAAAGTCTCATACCGACTCTGATAAAAATCACAATGGTTTTGTTTCATTTCTTTATTCACACTTTCTCATATATATTATCATAGTTTTAATAGGCCAACTTTTGACAACCCTGACCACGTAATCTGATACTCTAATCCATCGCCAGTTTCCAATGGATTGTTGATTCATTTGAACCAAAACAGGGAAAACACTGCCCAAAGAAGTGAGAAATGATGTCACACTTAACTCAATTGTCTAATTTATTTTCACCAACAAAGCAAACGCCAGGACAAGAGCAAATGTAGCAGCAGAATTGTGCGCCATGCTTGTGTGAATGCTGCTTATTGCCTCGGCCCCCTCTCTCTGCTCCAATATGATAAGATTTACTGGCATGTCCAAATGGGTAATCTTGTTTATTCAGTGTAGCTGTTTGGAAGCAGACATCATCGTGAGAATTAAAGTCTCTGCATCGCGGTGGGAGGTCAAGCAGAAAAAGGCAAATGCAGTTTTCTCAGTTTGCGTCTTGGAGTCTGCTCTGTTCTGTGTGCCTGTTCATTAGTCTGATACGTTGCTTTTATTCTTACCATAAAAGCTCCTCTCTTTATTTACACCTCTGTATGAGAAGATTTTTTTATCCATGAGCAGGATGGTATGAGGACAGTGACGATCTGGGACATGTAAGGACTTGTATGGACCTTTAATAACATTTAAGCTTATTGGTCAATCCTGCTCCCTATGGACCAATGACTCTTAAGTATTTGTTATTATTGCATTTCCTGTCTTATTATGGTTTGATTCTCTGATCTGTTAATGACAACTTCCTGGGCGTATGCTGTTGTGATTTAGGGGAATACACATTTAATTTGAATTTTATTGAATTTGTCTTTGAGCAAAAGTTGACAATACGTGACTTGTCATTATTATACAGCCTATTTGGGAAGTTTGAAATCTTAAAGCTGGAGTACCTAACTTTATTATCATAACAATTACGGGTTGTTTGTCCCAACAAAATGAGTCTTGTGAAAGTAGAATGTAAATTTGAATACATCTGACCACAACATGCTGTATTTATCATTAAAAAAGGTATAAACTTGTACATTTTTTACCCATTTATTAGTCAATTTCTGGGTTGGGGGGTGGCAATCAGACCTGCCACCCAATGCACCAGTCCCTCGTTGATCCTCTGCAGGTGGTGGGTCCACAGGAAGATGGCTGCTCCGTCAGCAGTTACGCAGCTTTGGTTTTTCATCAGGGACTTCGGGCAACTTCGGGTTAAGTGGGGCAACTTGGGGTTGCCCAAGGACACAACGGCAGCCAACATGAGTGGGAGCAGTGGGAGTAGGTTTCATTGGGGGATCGAACCCACAACCTTGCATGTCACTACTTGACTCTTTGGGCTGAGAGCTGCTGCGCTGAGTGAGAGTGGTTCTCTTTTTGTCACTTTTCTTTAAGTTCAAGCTGATCTTAATCAGAATCAGAATCAGAATCATTTTTATTGCCACGTAAGTAACAGGAAGTCACAGACTTGGAAATTGCTTTGGCTCAGTGAAACAGTCAGAAAGAAATAATAAAAATAAAGAATGATAATGGTGCCCACTGCCCAGGAAACAGAAGGACTCCACAGAGGTGATTGGGGAGTCCATCACGGAGGGTGGGGGTGGGGGGACAGTGCTCTTCCTGAAGTCCACAATCATCTCCACTGTCTTCTGGGCGTTCAGCTCCAGGTTGTTACCACTGCACCAGGACACCAGCTGGTCCAAGATGTGACAGAGGCAAAAAAAAAAAAAAACAGGAAATGTAGTCACGCCCTGCAGGCTCTGCTCAGACCGCAAAGGCAACGTTCAGTCCCCAAACTACAGCCCACCTTCATTTTTGCTACATTTCAACTCACTGTGCTCTATGATTGGATAATCTACTTGAAAATTGTAACGCTAAATATCATGGTCATCATGCACATTTTTTAATCTAGCATAACTCCAGTTAAAGTCAAATATGATTTGTAAATGTGCCTTGTTATCTGGGGAATCGTATATTAAACTTGTAGATGTCATTCAAAAATCAAATATTACATAAAAAAGCAATGAGTAAATTAAGTGACAATTGGCTATTTTACTAATTGATTAGTTACGATTAATCAAATAACTTATCACAACCCTACTATGATTCGCTCTTTGGCTCTCTGTAAATGACAAGGGGATACAACGACAGCACAATCAAAACAGTCTTCTTCATGTTACACTCACTTTGATTTAATTGGTCGTTTGTGAAAGCGCTGCAGTTTTCTTGTGCCAGAAGCGACTATCCCATCACAGAAATAAGTGGGCGTGGCTTGTGCATAAATATAGACCCTTTGGCGGAGATCTTCAATTATAAGAGGCTTGTACGGCACTTGCACCTCCCCCATCAATCCTTCAGCACCATTCAGATAAGCCCAGGCCGTTAGCACTTAGCCTATAAAGAGATGGGGAGATAGATGTGCTATCCTGTGCGTTTTATTGGCACAAATCCTCTTTGCGGAGACGTTTGACATACTGTATGATGATTTATGGCTCCCTCTGGACACCATGACCTCTCCCGGCCTTATGGAGACATTACACGAGTCCAACAATAATGACTTTCTTAAATAAAAATCGGCACAATTAAATGTATAGAGGACACGAATAATCCGTCCACATAAACATTTTAAAGGAGAAGTATGGTCAAACATATTATCAGTCAAATATGTTGTTTGTTGATGTTAAAAGTTTATTTTTGGTCATTAAAAATATACTTTTACTTGAATAATGTATCTAAATATATGGTGAAATTAGTATGAAGAGTAAAAAAAATGATTAAAAAAAGGATAAATAATTGGTTGACTCAAGTGGTTTGTATCTGGATTTTAGTAAATTCTGATCTTAAAACACCATTTGCCAATTAGACAAGCCATTTTGTCTTATTCTCATTCATAGTGGTACAATGACATCGTACTATTACAGGGCTGAGACAAAATCTGGACAGGCAGCATTTCAGATGTTTGCAGCTAAAATCTGGAACTGTCTTCCTGAAAAAGTGAGACAAGCTTCTACAATGACTATGTTACAATCTACGTTATATTATATTATATAGGTTCAGTGATTTTACTGCTTTGAGTGTTTATTTTTTTTATTTTTGTGAAGCACTTTGAGTTGCCTTGTGTATGAACTACAAGACACAAAGTTGCCTTGCCTATTATCACCCCCACAGAGCCCTTTGCTCCATTCATAACATCCCCTACGTCATAACAAAACACATACTGTACGTTACCGTGGCGTTTGATCACAGCCGACAACGAAGACAAAGGTGTGACACCGCGGCATACGCACCGTTCGCACCACAAATACGCCGCTCCGGCTCGATTCCAGGGCCCGCTCCCAGGGGCCGACAGTCTACCCTCAGATGAAGGCTTGACTTCCCAAATCAATTCAGTCGGAGAAGAAAACGTGTATGAACCAGACGTCTTGGGTGACAGCGCACCTTTATTCGCTCACATTCTCACTTTCCCTTTTAATAGATAAGACATCACGATAGCCGCAGGGGAATTGCTTGTGTGCGTGTTTGTGTGTGTTTGTGTGTGTGTGTGTGTGTGTGTGTGTGTGTGTCTGTGTGTGTGTGTGTGTGTGTTGAGTTTGTTCACGTGAGGGGTGGGGACAGGGCAGGTTGTTTGAGATTGCATCAGTTGGGATGTTGAAAGTGGGTTCCTGGATTTCACTGGTACATCTAAAGAGCAGGCTATTGAAATAAAACAGGTGGCGGTGTAGTGAGGAGGGGGCCCATTGTAATTAATGCTGCAGATGCTGCTTTCCCTGGCACATCTGGCCACTGCTCTCCTTTTCAGAAATCTCCTCCAAATTCACTGTAAATCCCTGCAGTGCAGTTCACAACAACTGGTGTGTGTCGAGTCATTGTTCTACGACCTAATATTGCAGATCCTTCAATCTGTGCCTTTATGTTTCACATTGATGCAGATGTGAGACAGCGCTCTACTCAAATAGGCTCAAGCCCAGGTTATGAACAGTTTCCTTTTGCTCTGTGCACAACCTAGATATTATATCTGGACATTTCTCCCACACACACACACACACAAAAAGGCACTGTATACGCATGTAGTTTGACTTTTTTTAACTATAAATATTGCTACTTTTCTTTTGTGTAAAAGTAACCAAAACAATTCCATGAATGTCTTAAAATGGATGACTGGTTTTAGCAAACCTTTAGCAATACAGAAGTACACAGTTAATAATTCATTATTTCATGTCTTAAAATGGTCAATACATCTTTTGTATCTATTGTAAAATCAACTTGGCATTTTAGACTTACTTACTAGCAAAGAAGACTTTTTTTCTGTTGGACTATTTGTACTGCACTCCCCCTCAAATTTATACTTATTCCAATATTATTTATTAATAATATTCCAACAAGCATAATATACAGTATACAAACCTCATCTGGGAATCCACATTGAATTCAAAAGCCTCTATTGGCAAACCAGAATAGGCTCCTTTATTATGTACCAGCAGGTCACGAGGTTTATATTAATCTAATCTCTTCATTCTGCTCTATTTTATATGCATTTCTCATACAAACTCACTCTGCCGTTCTGTCTTCATTTGCTCCTGATTTCCATCTGCTGCGGTGTAGTTTCGCCTGCACATAACAGTGCTCTATTTGTGCAGTGGAAGTGAAGGGAGCCCAGTCTGCTCTGATTACAGTGTACTCAGGATTAGAGGAATATGCTCCAACATATTCAGCCTGGTATTATGCTGATATCCCCTTAACACAGCTTCACCAGCAGCACTGCAGCTTCACATGCAGCAGGAGGAAGCAGCAGGTGCGGTCAGACTTCAAAACCACAGGCCAAATGGGAAAATGTTCACTCACACACAGAGGAAGGTAGAGTTGGTTCTAACAGCTATGAATTAAAGAACAGCTAATGTCATGTTTGGGTTTAAACCAGATTCATTGTGTATTTTAACTTGTATTCAGAGCTAAAATAATTATTAAGAGGAAGTCCATTACGTTACCGAATTGAAGCACAGACGAAAGAGGTGGGATTATATAAGAATTAGTTTCCTCATTCTAGGCAGACGAGATCACACAGTAAATGTTGGTTGTTTGTTTTACTTCATATTTCTTTTATTAAGTTGTCTTTACTTTATTTGTTCTATCGCTGTCTGAATAGATCAATAAATAACTATAAATACAGTGGGGAAATTTCAATGTTGTTTCACCAGTTACAAAACAGTAGGGATTGAGAAGCACACAACAAAAGATGAATGAACAATAACTCTATACTAAAATAAAATAAAATCTCTAGCTTTAGCATAATAAAGAAGAAAGTCTAAAATCTCCAACTTAAACATGATGAAGAGCAAAAAGGTATAAAATCATATTTACTCTGGCATTTCATGTTTTACAATACTAGTGCATTACCAGCAGGTACTGTAGCTTCCCCAGTCTCTGTGCATGTTAGAGTCTGTTGACAATTTCAAGTCCCAACTTAAAAGTGTTTTATGATTCTACTGTATTTTTATTTTTGGAACTGACTTCTATGTGGATGTTTTTGATAATGAAGTGCTTTGTGATCCTGCTCTGAGAAATGTGCTCTACAAATAAATATTAATTACTTATTAACATAGGAAGAAGCCAGTGTATTTATTATTGCAGTGTATGTAGGATTGTCAAACAGTGAGGTGACGTGTGTGTCTGCGCGTGTGTGTGTGTGTGTGTGCGTGTGTGTGTGTGCGTGTGTGTATGTGTTTGTACGTGTGATAAAGCTCCTCTGGAAAAATCTGAATCATCACACAAGATGCAGTTGATTTGCATGCCTGTTGGTAAAGTCAGCATCGTTTTCACATATTCGGCCTTCAGAGGTCAATAGTTGACAAAAGAAACATTGTTAAAAGAAAGTAATTGTTTTTGCAGATTTGAGCCAGAAGTTCCTGATATTAGTGTAAATTATAACAGCTCCAGGTCTGTTTTTTATGAGGGAACAATGTTGTAACAAGTGGACTTTGCATAATACATCTCCTTTAAATTAAACATTGAGGAGTTGGACCAAGTAATAACTTTATTATTTCGAGTCGGCATAAGTAATTCACCCAGTCCGGCTGCTGTGTCATTTTCCAAAAATTGCAACATCCAGTTCTTTTGGAGAAACGCTTGAAATATTTTGATTAGCATTTATTCACACATCAAGGGTACATTAAAATAAGGTCAGAAGATTCAAAAATCTCCCGGATCCTCTTATCTCCCGGCGTTTTGGCTAGCACAGTGCCGACCGAGCAGCAGAGGGAAAAAAAAAGCATCTTTGCATAAAATGGCAAGCGCGCACAATCTAAAACAGTTGGTGAGGAAGTCTAAATAATCAGAGCGGTTTTGGAGATGAATGTATTAGCATAACTTACAGTCCCAAAGTAATCACAGCGAGGGAGAAGACATCCGCTCTAGGCACATACGCTGACCCCAAGAGACGGGACAGCAGCCGGGGACGCGTGATGCGCATCTGCGAGACCCCGACCGCTTTAGCGCCTCTGGCTACGACGCTATCATATGCACAAATGAACAAACTGTCAGCGAGCGCGGATCTGCACGTCTTTATCTGGTGTCTCTCGCTCGGGCTGATGCACATATATGCGGTAAAGAAAGACCAAGAGTTGACAAATGAAGCCAGTGACCATGCCAGCGTGGAGCCGGGCCGTATAGAGGCACCGCAGGGGGGGAGGGTAATCTGGATATTATACTGGCTCGCATGGGTGCAATGAGGAAAAATAGCGCTATCATTTCATTTAGATGATAGCACTCCAGGGAAACTTATTTTGAAGAAGTGTGTAAGCGTTTTTTTTTCCGCAGGCTGGAGTGATCATCTATGACACCTGTGGATCCTTATGCGTTCAGTACTTTTAAAATATTAACATTGAGTGAAAATTATGTGTGTGTGTGTGTGTGTGTGTGTGTGTGTGTGTACTTTATTTATCCTCACAGGGGTGTCAATTATACTGTAAAACTGTATAATTGATAATAATTAATTATAAAACAAAAATGTGATTCCGCTCCGCGCTCAGCAGCGAGTTGAGTGCGTCTGTACTGGCTCCCACCAGAGCGTGTTCTGTGACTGTGACACCCTCTGAAAAATGTCTCTGTCAAAAAGGCTTGAATTCTTGACTTTCATGTGACATCTTGTGAAACAAAGGTCAGTTTACCGGAAGTTGGCCACGTTGGTGGTAAAGCACGCAGCTGTAGCTGTCTCATTCTCAGCCACAAACTAATTATTCAATGGTGTTTCTTGCGCTCTCAGGAAATGGTTGATCTAAAAAGAATAAAACGACAATCAGCAAACAGCATTTGTAGATACAATATATAAAAGAAGCGACGCGTGTGACGTCATAAACATTAAACTACAAAGATAAACTCAAAAATTAATGATAAATTATCTTTCTTACTTACCCAAGCAAAAACAGCTGACTTGTCAACACAAACTTGCTTTGTCTGAAGCTTGTTCACCCAGCCTGACACGTAAGAATTGTATGCTTCCATTGATTTGTCAAATCAGTATACCAAAACATGGCGGACGCCGATTACGTCATCAGTTTTGGTCACGTGGTTGAAAGTCAAAAATAGCATCTTTAACTACGAGACTCGGCGAAACATGTCGCAATTTGAGCGCAGAATTGAGAAGACAAAAGATAAGTGTCTGGCCCTGAAGAAACAGGAGTCTGTTTGCTGGACATTGGTCTCTCCCTATGGACCAATACATATGTGTATTTTGTGTGTCTTAACTGTTGATTCTCTGATCTGTGTTGGTGATTTCAATGGTTTTGTTAAGTCCTCTGAGATTACTTCTGTCGTGATTTAGGACTATACAAGAATACGTTTTTGTTGTTGTTGTGCCCAGAGTGAGAGGTCAGTGATGCTGCTGTAAAGGCAAGCTACCTGAGTGCTAACAACATAGCATTAGCATCGCAGCCGCACAGTGAGTTTGTCCAAAAATTGTTGAAAATAATTTTTTGATCCGACCCAGTTGTGATCCATGTGGCCGCCGGACCAAAATTAGTTTGACACCCCTGCACTAGGGCGTCTGTCAGGAGCAGTGGTTGTAGAACAGCACTCGGGAACCCATCTCAAAACATTGATGCTCGGCTTGGTCAGGACTACCGGGGCTGGGGGATTTACCTATTTTGTTTTTAGTGGTCGGGGAACCGGAGCACCTGGAGTGCACAGACACTGGGACAACATGCCCTGGTCCAACTGGGATTCGAACCTATGTTCTATCAAAAACAACTCAACTTGCACATCTATCCATCCATCCATCCATTTTCTTCCCCTTGTTCCATTTCTGGGTCGGGGGGGTGGCAGTCAGAGCTGCACCCAGTACACTTAGCACCAGCCCCTCACTGATCCTCCTGCAGGTCCACAGGAGCTGAGATCTTTCAGTGAGATCTTGCACATCTATATGTTTATATATATATATATATTAGGATTTGCCATCTTTGTTTCATCGTTCCCTATCAGTGTTCCCTCAAAGCTGCGCACATGTGCGACTGCTCAGCACTGGTAGGGTTCTCTGCGCACAAAATAAAACTCAATCAACAATGATATGATGCAATTCATCGATTTATTTACAAAGATAAACACCATGAGTATAGCTCATGGACTGCCCGGCATGCAGGTCCCTTTGAGACTAGAACAAGTCTTTTCATACAGATAGTATGAAAAGTCTATTCATACTATCTGTGAGCATGTCTGCACAACACAGACGTCTTTTTCTTTTCATTTTTTACATCTATGTTGATACAGTTTAGATATATTTACCTTGACACATTGATTTTTAACTTAATGATATCTTCAATCTACTGTGTTGTATTTTGGTTAAAATGGGGCAGAGCCTTACACAAGAAGCCAAAAGGCCTTTATTTTTTACTGAACCATATCGATTTGTTTAGGAAAATATTGCATCGCCCCGATTTGAAAGTCCCCTGTACACAGATACGTGTTGTATCAAAGGAAGCCTCTGAAAGATCCCCAGCCCAAATACAAATCGAACGTCTTTATCTTGTTTATTTTGTTATGCTGTATAAGTATATAAGTTTGAAATACAAACTTATCACCCAGTCTTATCTGAGATTCTACAACATGAACACAACCCATCATTGATTCTAATTCACATATAATATGGTGACCTTTTGTTTGCATTCAAGACCATCGATGCTTTGACTTTGCAGAGTTGGTCCAAGAATAGATCCGTACACTTTCCCTCCTCACTGAGGCTGTCCCTCGCTGTCAATGTGGCTTTATTCTCTGCTTCCTGATATTGCATTTCAAAGTCCCCGGCTCACTGTATAAAGGAATTGTGTGATAGATTGGGAAATCAGTTGCTGGACAGAGCCTGAATTGTACGGGTTTTTTTTCAAACATGAAAAACGACAACAAAGAGTATTCCCATTGAGGTCACTTGTATACAGACATGAAAAAAGCATGCATTTTTGTTCCTTTTGGATTGGCTGACTTTGTGAATATAAAGCTCATTCAGGGCTGACAGAGGAGCTTGTGTCTCCCCGCCTCGGTGAAGCTCCCTAAGTAGTGCGCATGAATGTGTCTCATAAAACGCTGTCACTCCTTTTTGTTGTATGTCACATGTAGACGACTTGAATTGCGATGGATTCAGTCTTTATCAGCAGCCTCTCATGGGCCACGTGCTAACAAGGCTGTCTGAAAGCAGGCTCTATCTAGCTGTAAAAAAAAAAAAAAAAAAGAGTCTGGTGGTATGTAGTGAGGCTTATCTTCCAAACCCACATCACAACTGCCATTTCCTTCTCACCAGTATTGTATTTGCTGATATGGCTGCCTGTTGTCTCCCTTTAATCACAAAATGTTTGAACAGCTTCGGATAAAAGAGAAAACTGATTCTGACTTGCTGTAGCGTTCCAGGCATCACAGGCATCTCGGCGTTTCTTGTGTTTGACTGGGGAAGGTTTAATCCAAAGCTAACATGTAGTGCATTTCGGATGGCTGCAGGCTGCTAAACAAGATATCGAAGTCATGCAAAGTTAAATAAGGTTTGTGTGTATGGATTATGTGACGCAATGTTTTTATAATTCTGCAGTATCGATATCTGTTCAGTTACATTAGCAGCATCCAAAACATCAGCTGGCTATGTGGTCATATAACTCGGGCAAATAGGCTTGAAGCAGTTTTGTATGTAGTGAAGCGGCTTTGATAAAAAGTGCAATAAATATGAAATGGTTCTTTTGGGTTTTAAATCAATAAACGTGGCGTGGTGAACAAGGCTTTAGTATAAAATTTACTTTCTATTGGCCACATTTAGTGATGAAAGAGTGTTAAGAGTGTTGGCAGGAACAACCTGTTGAAAGATGAAATGATGATAAACGGAAGCAAGGACTAATGCATTAGCTAAAAACGGCAGCTGTCAAAGATTGAAACATAATCATAATTTAATATGTGACTTTCCACAAACTCTGACGGTTATTTCACGATCGCAGAGCATAAAGGCCGAACATCTCTCTTGTGCCCGAGTAAATGTCAGAGCAAGCTGCTGTGCTTCCCAGACCAACCGCATTGCCGTGGCAACCCTTCCAGCTCAAAGAAAAGGGATCGGCGCAGAAGAAAGGAACTTTTATGCCTCTGAACCCCCACTAGCTTCCCCATCCCTGAGGTCCTTGTGTATTGTGGGCCAGGCCTGGACCATGTGCCTCACACCAAAGCAAAAGCATTTCAGACATGGATTCACAGGAAATAGATCAAGTTTGAGAGCAATAAGAAAAATGTCATTCTGTATCTCTTTGGGTAAAATTCAGGGTTACTTTTTAGTTCTCTATAAAATTCTCTAAATCATTGTTTAAAGAATGCTTCACTTGAATGGCAAGTAAGAGGGAAAATTACACTACTAGATTTTGCAGAATGGCTTGGAGCTATTATATTTGGTTTCAATTTATACCAGCAGGAGGTTGGCTGATACCTTTCTTCTTTAGTAATGGCTTTCTTCCTTCAGCTAACTTGTCGGCTCTAACAAGAAGTGTATTTTTGACGATCATGACGAGAGATTGTTAGGAGCCCTGGCCAAAGACTGTCATTCAAACCCATAGTAACGACTACTTTGTGACAGAACTCTTGGCTGCGGTGCCACGTCCAGGCTCAGAAAATACAGTGTTTAACTATAACCTGCTCAAGGGGACAGGTTCCAGACGACAGCACATGGAGTTCTATGTGGATGGACAAAAGTGTGATGCTGCTGTTGCGATAGAACCATTTGGCAAAGGAAAGCTCCAAGAAAGACTTCACACTGGCTTCAGTCCAGTCTGCGTCTCCAGAGCTCCAATAGCAGAAATGTTGCATTGACGATCTTCAATCTGCAGAATACCAGTACAAAACAATCACAATCAGTCCTTCCAACACTTTGCATTCTACAATATGAAACCACATGTGTCACTGTCAATTTACTTTACTCATCTGTGCAATAAAACATTTTATAATCTCAGAATGAGCACTATAGAATCACATGTGTCCACTGTCATTTTGTCCCATAACCTCATGCTGCTAACATGTACAGTACATATGTTTACATACAACTATATATTTCTTACAATGGAATATACAGTTTTTCTACTTGCTTCTAAAGTCAGAGATGTTAAGGCAAGGCAAGGCAAGGCAAGTTTATTTGTATAGCACAATTCATACACAAGGCAACTCAAAGTGCTGAACAAGATAGCATTAAAATCATAAATAATCACAGAACATTAAAACGTCAAGCCAGTTAATACAACCATTAACTAAAGATAAAAATATAAAATCCCTCAGTTGTATGCACAGCTAAACAGCACCATTTTTAACTTGGTTTTAAACATTGTCAGAGAGGAGGCCTGTCTCACATCTTCAGGGAGATTGTTCCAGATTTTAGCAGCATGAATCTGAAAAGCAGCCTCCCCATGTTTAGTTCTGACTCTGGGCACTAACAGGAGTCCCATCCCTGTGCTCCTCAGAGTCCGGGCTGGTTCATATGGGACTAACATGTCACTAATATATTTTGGTGCGAGGCCATGGAGAGACTTGTACACAAGCAGAGCTGTTTTAAAGTCTATTCTCTGAGCCACAGGAAGCCAGTGCAGAGACCTGAGAACTGGACTAAGGTGGTCGTACTTCCTGGTTCTAGTCAGGACTCGAGCTGCTGCATTTTGAATGTACTGCAGCTGTTTTACAGCCTGTTTGGACAGACCTGTGAGCAGGCCATTGCAGTAGTCTAACCTACTGGAGACTAAAAAGTATATAGGTATAAAGGAGGATATTCTACTTCCGGGTGGATCATCAGGACTATTGGTCGTACTAATTGTCACTCATTCTGGTGCTAGAGTTTTGTTAAAAAGGTGGAGAATGCGGTTCTTTCCTAAAGTTTGGGAAAATCCCACTATATACCTTCAATTCTTGCTTCATTATGCAGAAGTTAGAAATTTTATACTTGCTTCTATATTGTGATTTCTTTTTTTTAAAGTATAGAGGGATTGTTCATTTTTCTTATGTTGTGTGCTCTTCATTCCTATTGTTATGTAACCGGAGATGCAACACTGAAATTTCCCCACTGTGAGACAAATAAAGAATCTCTTAATTTTCATCTCCGAGCTCACCGAGGCATGTCACTTTTTTATTCCTCATCCATAAGTCACTCCAGCTGCACTTGCGGTCCTTCACCTTTGCCATGCTACAGCTATATGCGTCCAAGCTTTGTCACCGTTTATATAAATCTTTAAATGGATGCAGAGCTCACGGGGCTGCGTTCATGCTGTTAGCGTGGCTTATAGACTTCAACTGTATTTTTAGTGTGTAATTCCCATAGGCCATTGTTGGGTCACAGGATTTCCACGTTGTTTTGGATAATGTCCGTGGATTTAAATGTTTTGTAAGTCGTCCGTGTGTGCACGACTGTGTGATGGTGTTTTCTGCTCGGCCTACCGGTGCATGCCTGTGTTCAGGTGGCACATGACCCTGGCTCCGCTGGGAGGCCTGTGTCTTTCATGTCCTCTGCATCATTCCAGCTCAAATCTGGGTCAAAGGATGAGAGAATAACCCCTATCTGTTCTGGCATAACCACGCACTCATGACAGAAAATACACGCCACACATACTCTTAAAAATGACCAGCCAGGGAGATGCGAGAGGCGGTAAAAAAGGATGGCATTGTATAGAGGACGCAGTGGCAGACAAGTTTTAAAAATTCACCTTATGTTGCATCAGACACGGCATCCTAAATGCAGACCTTGCCGTCACCGACCGCCTTCTTCACAACAGTTGTATTCACAATAACATTCAGGAGTCATGTCTGGCTTTGTCTGGCTTTGTCTCCGCCGTTTGTTTTGTACAGCTAACGGTTGACCTTGCGCACACCAGACGAGAATTTGCAAGTCGGCAAGTGAGTTGATTAGAAATGCATTGTGGCTCTGTGTCTCCTGGTATCGCAGAGTCTGTCTCTCAATTCTGTCTCCTTGAGTAAGCCTTCGCAGCAGCAGAGAGAGCCCTGGACACGACTCAAACTTTAAGAGACTGTAAGATGTGCACAGTGATCAAGACATTACAAATTAAACTACTGGCTGTTGTTATTTCTGATAATATGTGCATTTATCTTAAAGCTGTGGTGCCAAAGTTTCAAAAAGTTTAACTCAACTTTTGTATTTAATAATTAAAAGAAATAATAAAATAGTTTCTGATTTTTATTATATTATTAGTATTCACAAATATGTCTAAGTATAGATTTCTATAGCACAGGTCAAACACAAGGCAACTCAAAGTGCCAAACAAAAAAAGAAAACAATCAAGGCATTAAAATAATAAATAATCACAGTACATTCAAAAGAGTAAAGATATAATTCTTCAGTTGTATTTTAGACCTCACACCTTTAAATCAGCTTTTTCAGACACTCAGCCGATCAGCTCTCAAAGACAAAGGCCACATCTTCAGACTTTCTATCTGCTATAGTGATAACCTATGACATCGCCCCTTTAAACCAAGTGTAATGTGGTTGATTTGGACTTTTTTCTTTTAGTTTTTCTTTTCTTTTCTGTTTATTTTTTACAAAATTCACAAATGAAAAATCATTGCATGCATGAATTCAGCTACAAAAAATAAGTAGTCATACATAATACACAGGATTTGTACATTTTCTATGAAATACTTCAATACCCAGACAATGGGAGTGGAGAGATTTAGATTTATATTTCAAGATTTATTTTGATATTGTGGTATTTATACTATTTATGTGTTATGGGGGTTGTGTGAGTGTGCATAATTATGTATATATATGTTGGGAAGGGTGGAGCCATGGGAGGGAAGGGGAGGGAGAATCAACACCCATTCTGTTACTAGCTAAACCCCAGCAGGTAGAATGCATCATTTTGGGGGTTAAAAGCCACATTTGTCACGGGCAGGACACACAATCTGGCACTAAAAGTGTGATTATAAATGTAATGACTTTAATAGACAGTGCAAATTACAGATGGTCCTTTAAAAATGTACTGCTTTAGAGCTATATATTGCATCAACATTGTGGCATGGACTTACATACACAAAGATGACAGAAATGTGTCTTTGGCTTGCTACGTATCTCACGCACATCACTACTATCATTAGTGCATGGACTACGGTATACATGAATTACCAGCATATATAGGCAGCTATCGAAGCCTTCGTCTGCCTTACGCAATGGTTTGGGTGTTATTGGGGAAAGTCAAGACGATTTTTCTCTTTGCTTTGAAGAGAGGTCTCTTTTAAAGCTACAAATAGTTATTATTTTTGTGCTGGGACAGTGTGGGCCCCTTCGGACATAGCTCTGGGACTCTGTGGCTGGCAATGGGCAGTGTGCATGAAAGCATTGCAGCCAGATAAAGGGTACAGAGCCACAGTGGGAGAGGACCACTCACAGAGGCTGCTATCCGTGGTGTCAAAGCTCTCATAGACTTCCACAATACGCCCACCGCTCCACGCTGGGTCTGGGAGCCACACGTCACAGTGATGGAGTGCACGCCATGGCACACTTTTGTCTGCATTGATGAGCTCCCTGCCCCAGATCTCAGCTGAGGTCTGGGCCTTGTGTCCATCTTCTGCCATCAGCGAGGCTCCTGACTGCATTGTGTTCAAGGGAAGAGGGAGCATATGTGTCGCTGTGAGAGTTTTAGTATCAGTGTCGGAATGTCAAGAACCACTCCGATTCTCCTTTCCCATTTCCTTCAAATGTTGCGCTCCATCTGTTGTTGACTTGAAGAGATAAAGAACTATTGAAATCATTAAACGAAATAAAAGAAAAATATGTACAAAACTAAATAAAAAAAGGATAGGCTTGCACTGCATAAAATATGTCCCTGTTTCAGGAAGTCATGTCGGAATTCCGTGCCTTAATTGAATTACAATTTTCTGTAAACTGTAACAGTTAAAGCCTAACCCAAGCCCAGTGAATATCACAAAACAGTGTGACGTTGACATCAGTTGAACAGCAGGACATGACTAGAATATGTGCACGGGACACAATCTGATTGTAAACACTGAGAACTTTTCTACATGTAACATTATTCTGTGGAACACTAACTCAACACACAAGAAAAAGAAGGAAATGCCAACAGCTCTTCCGCCGGTCTCTCCCTAGCCACACTTCCTGGTTGAACTCTCGTAGCACAGGGAGTTCCCAAAGTTTTTAGCCCGCGACCCCCATGATAAATGCGCTGCTCCCCTGCGACCCCCCACCTCAACAGCCCTTCCCGTCACATGAAATGAGCACGTAGTGATGGGCACTCCCTCTGGGTTTTTCTGTTGTAGATATTAACCACGTTTCATTTTAAAGCAGGTATTATTTGTTTGTAGCCTCCAAATAACAGCAGGACACGCTTTGTCGCTGCATGATGTGAGCTGCGCAACTTGATTTTGAGTGACGCTCTGTCAATGACTGGGACAAAATTACAAACGTAATTAAAATATATTATATTGTTTTCAGACTTTTCTCAAAAACAGAATTTAACAAGTAGTCCTTAGTAATAAGGACTACTTAGTGATAGTAGTAATCAAATCAAATGCTAAGGGCTATATATTTGTTCCATTTTTTTTTTTTTTTTAATTTTTTAAATCAACTTCCCAGGGATTCCCGCGACCCCCCGGGGGGAAGGGACCCCCACTTTGGGAACCACTGTCGTAGCAGGTAATGTGCACTCTTGATTTCTCTGACTTACATTTATAGACTTGATTTTGTTTTAGTGCTGTTGATCACACTCTGCATGTCATCATGGCACCTGCTGTTAAAAGGGTTGGCAACATGTGCAACACTGGGCATACATTTTAGCTTAGCCGACACTTAACTTAGCCACGCTGGCCCCTTGGCTCCTTTTACATTCAACTTGGATTAGTTTGCTGTACGAGTTAGATTGCAAATGTTTTTATTTTTTTTATTTCTTCAGTTCTTGACTCATGATTGAAAAATGGGTGTAATACTGTGACAATAACGACATGTGTCCAATATGATACTGAGAACCAGTGGGGGCGGGTCCCGGCTCAAAAGTGGCCAAAATGACGTGCGCTGACTTGCTTGCAATACCACCCGGGGCCGATGGGGGTGGACCCGGAATAAGAATTAGCCAATGCTAACATGTAGCATCTTCTTACCTCTCCAAAACACCTTTACAGGATGGTCCAAACTTGGACCACTCTAGTCACTCGTTTAAATGAATGGTGCTTGTGCCGGCTGACACATGCGCACATGCGTTTTTTCACATTTTCCAGCCCCCGCGGCCATTTTGAATCACTCCATGAAAGCTAATTTTTTGGCCCATTAGTTAGAATGGCGGAGATAGGCGTGACTACAACCGTTAATACAGTCTACATCTTTGACATTACAGATGAAAGAGCAACAAAATAAAAAAAATCCTTGTACTTTGCTCCCTTTGTTATCAATGATGTAATGTAATGTTTATTTATTTAGCGCATTTTACAGACCAAGGTCACCCAAAGCGCTTCACAATGTTCAGAGATCAGATATTGTTCCAATTACACCACACACGGTGATGACGGAAGCGAGTCGCCAAACACACTGCTGCATCAGCCCCCAATCAACACCATCCATTCACTCTCTCATTTACATTCAGACCTATTGTGGATGTTTTTAGTGGTAGGGGAAACCGGAGCACCCAGAGGAAACCTACGCAGACACGGGGAGAACATGCAAACTCCACTCAGAAAGGCCCTGTTCAGACCAGGGTTTGAACCCAAAAGAATATAATATTTCGCTAAATGCCTTTTGTGTCAGGGTACTTACTTCCTCCCAACTCTACAAGTTGTCATGAGAACTGAAAGCTTTTGGCATCTTAGGAAATGACATTGTGGAGAGACAGCACGTCTCATCTTTGTTAACTCAACTGACCAAACTGGGTGTCTCCAGCCACAGAAACTCAAGCTGTCTGGTGCAAACAAAAACTGTTTTGTTAGATTAAAAATGGACGTCGAAAAATTATTCACGAAGCTATTACCCAGTCATCATTGAGTATGATGTTTCTATCCAGTTTCTGGGATCTCATTCCAATCTTTATAGACTTAGAATAGAAAATTATTTTGAAGCAGTAACACAAACAAGTACAAATAAAATGTTAATAAAGTTACAGATTAAAGCTGGAGGGACTGTTGTTATAACATTTTTGTTTATGAAGACATTAGGTTTGTCCCAACAGAAAGAGTCTAGTTTAAATAGCATTTTCAGAACAAATCAACAGCCTCCCTTCATATTATTAGAACACAGCACTCTGTGCTGTGTGAAAACTGGTTTTTCACTTTTCTATCTGAAAAATCTGATCTAAAGATGTGACAAAGTCCAAACATAAATCGAATTATATTCTTCAACTTAACTTTGTAAAAACAAGAGGTCTCTAAAGCATCAGCAGTGCAACCAAGACATGTATGCATGCTATCACAGCTGAAACTGCTTATGCAGACCTGTGTGAGTGTTTCCTGCTGCCTGGTCAGAGGGGCTCAGTCTTGCAGCCTCACTTCCATCAGTCTGCCCCGGGACAGCAGTGCTAACAGAAGGCGCCTGGCACTATAGTATGGAATGAATGAATAATGCATGGAATTGTAAAGCAATTGTAAGCGTGTGGAAAAGCTCTGTAATGTATTATTAATCATTCGAATAGCCGGGTCAGAGCACGGTCTGTGTACAGCAGTTTGCATGCTCCTTGTCAGTGGCACAGTTTAAAGATGACATCACCACTTGGACAAACGGCAGCGTGTAGGAGATGTGTAAAAACAATAGATAAAAGACATGTGATCGGAATATGTGTATGGCAAAATATAAACTCTCATTGTAACCGAATAATGGCTCAACATAAAAAAATTTAAATTGTGTTTTATAAGTTAGCGTGACTATATTTTTGTCATAAATAATTCATGTTGTTTGTCCCAACAGAAAGAGTCTGAGTGAAATGCAATTTTTTTGTATGTAAGTTAGTATTTGACGAGATGATTCGGCTGAATAAGGGTGGTCCTTTTCACTTTTCGGTGACCGAGTCCAAAAATATATGCATGTGAAAACTAGTGATGGAGGTCAGTGAGATGGACTTTATTACAAAAGTCCCAATGTTAGTGGTTTGAAAGTGCTTTTCTATTCACACTGCAGAACAGCGTCGTGGCATCCGTGGCTCTGTGTATTGGGTTTTTCGATACTGTGCTATTCCACTTCATCATGTTGAGTTGTCACATTTCTTTTAACAATAATTCCCAATGTGTATATTGACTAATGGCTAATGTAAACTTGCCAAATAAACAACATTAATGATGGGATACGCATCATTGCTCCACCGCCATCCAGTCCGCATCTGCAGTAATAAAGTTTTGAATGTTCACTTGGCTTTGCTGCTGCTGTAGAAGCTTGCCTTGCTCTCGTTGCGTTTTACCTTGTTAATTGTGTGCGCAGATACCTCCCCTTCAACATGGAATATGCTCATGGGTGTACTCTGTATGCAAATGGAAAGCTTCATATTTGGCGCACCTGTAGAATACCTCCAATATTGGCACATTCCATATACTGTATGTGTCTGTGGTGATTGTATTCATGCAAATGTGTGAGACTCTTTCCTATAGTGCAGGGAAGTAGTGAGGACTTTTATGCTGCGGAACGAGCAGTGTGAGTTCCAGTAAACAAGCTCGCAGAAGAAACTACTTTTCGGTGTCTGTCTCTCTACCCTGCCTTCCTGTCTTTGCATATAGTCTCGCATTTAAAGACATTTTGCAGCTAGGACCATGTTGTAGCTGTTTCTCTTCGTCATTTACACACTTTGAGGGTTTTTTTGTGGATGTTTGTATTGCTCCCCCTGGTTCCTCTGACCACATTGACAAGCCCAGTGTTTTTACTTAGTTATTTATGATAATATGGAATGTGAATGAACAGGCAGCATGGTCTGCTTTCTAGAACGGGGAAAAAACTGTTGATCACTAACATATTTATGGTCTGGCTAAGCCTTAACTGAGGCTTCATTTCAGCTGGAGTGGTTTGAGGGGGCAGAGTACAGAGTGATAAGGCAGGACTGAATATGTTTTTTGTTATTTAAGCTTTTATTTAACCAGGAAAATTCCTCCTACTCGCTCTTGCTTTCATTGACTTACATTGAAAAGTAAACTCCTCTAGCTCAGTAGCCGTTTGACAGAATGAGTTGGAGGTTGATTGGGGGCAGCAATTCCCAATGGCTTGAAGATTTTGCCGATTTTCAAAATGTTTTGTTGTTGATTACAGATTACAGTCTCACATGACTTCAACGTGGATTAATTTAATTTCCTAACTGTTAATACCAAATGTCTAATGTACCACCTCTAACTGTAAAACAATCAACCATGTGTGTCATAGATTATCACATACATTTATGTTTTATGTTCTTTAAACCAACGCAATCAACCCAGCTGCTGGAGACGTCATTCATCTTTATTCCAATCATCTTTTCCGTCTAAATAATTGATAATTGTACGGTCTATCATGGTGTTATCAATTAGGCCATTTATCCCCAGCTCTGAATCTAAGACTTAATTGGTTTGTGCTATGGAGAGGCTAAAGAGCAGGCTGGCGCAGTAGAATGTGGGATTACTGTTGATGGGCTCTCAGACTTATT